GACCCTGGACTCTCAGACTCATTGTGAGTCTGCGAACTAGACTTATACCTCTTCTTGCTTATGATTCTGAATCTTTCTTTGTTAAACTCTCTTCTAAATAATTTGACAAGCCCCTCTGGTATTCACATATTAGTGTGATTTATATATAAGGACTCTGCCTTCAAAGGTTTTTGATTGATCCTGAAATCCTCTGATGGGGTTTGATTGATTGTTACTAATTTTTCTTTAATTGAACCTCCTTTACCTTTTCCTGACTTGGTTCATTCGAATTGAATTGTAATTTTGATTTCCCTGGCTGTTTGATTGATTCCCTTTCCTTATTTTTTCCAAGCCGTGTACTATTGAATTCTTTCCTTTAATAACTTCTCTGTATTTACCCCTTTTGTGCTACTTTGAAAAGGTTTTAATCAAAACTGCTTTCCTTAATTGGCTTTTACCCATTGAAATCAGAATCCCTTAACTAAAGGGAGATTGATTTCAATGTTATTTCCTTACCTTTTCTCACTTGTTTCCTGCACTATAAAAGGGGCACGACCCTTCTGCACTTTGGAGGATCAAAAAAACTTACAATTGAATACTTTTACAACACACTTCGAATGCATACTCTTACACACACACTCTGAATTCAGCACTTTACACACATAATCTCACAGCTCTCTTCTAAGATCTTCTGACTATTTGTTGGCTTTACAAGACTACTGCTTTTCTTTTCTTGTTTTCCTGAAACTGGTATGTCCTTTATTTAATTTTCTGCCTCACCCTTATGTGGTTCAGACTGTTGTTTACTCTACTGCCTATGTTCAGTAATTTGTGTTAAATATTTTTCTTCCTTGCTTCTATTTCTGTTATGAATCCTCTACCCATATCCCCTTCTATGTGATGAGTTAAGTTCTCGGCCTAATAGTATCCTAATTGTTGTCCAGGCCTTGGCTTGATCCACAATGGATCCTAACTCTCAATGTTTGACTAGCAGGCTGGTCAGGGGTGTGCCAGCATCCCAATTGCTGGGCATG